CCCGCCGGCCCCTGCTTCTTCCCGGGGGCTCGGAAACGGCGGGCGGGCGCGCGCGTGCCGGGAGGTGGGGTGGGGGGGGTCCTGCACAGCTGCGGCGCAGGGGCCCGGCGCCCCAGGCGCCTTCGCCACTTTCCGGCTGCTGTTTCGCGGAAATGGTTTGGCCGCAGCGGGGGTTGCTGTGTGTTCCTTGCGCGCGCGCCGCGCGTCCGCGACGCCGCAGGGGCGGACAGCTGCCCCGCGCCGGCGGCGTCGGAGGGGGCGCCCGCAATTCGGCTGTTGACCAAGTGCGTCCGCATGGCGCGTGGCCCCAAAAGCGGTGCCTGCGGTTGGGCAGGCACGCATGCATTCCCCAGGCGCAATATTCCCGCCGGCCGGCGGCCGGGCGCGGGAGGGGCGGTGCACCGAAAGCAGTACCTGACAGCCGCGGCGGGCCGGGAGGATGGCGCGAGGAGAGCCGGCGGCGGCCGAGGCGCGCCGCCGCGCCTAGCCGTGCCGAATGGGACGCTTTCGCATGGCTGGCGCGGGCCCAAGCGCGGGCGCCGCCCCTGGTTTTGCTGCCGGCTGGAGAGACGCGGTCGGGTGAGTCCGTCGGCGCCGGCGCGCGGGTTCGACACGGGGTGTTTCGAGGAGCGGTGCGGCAGGGGCCAAAAGTCGAAACGGTTGCGGGTCGTGGGGCGGGCAAACGGCCGCGTGGGGCGGGGCGCAGGCTGCGGGTGGCGTGCGGCGGGCCGCGGGGGGCCCGGCCAGAAAGGGGCGGCCAAAAAGGGGCCTTGAGGTTCGAATGAGAAGACCGCGTTCGGTGTGGTTTAGTCTTGTAGAGTCGCGGGAGGCGCCGGCGGGCGCGCAAAGAGGCAGGCACGAACGATACACGAAGACGGGGCAGCGGCGGCGGCAGCGGCGGCGGCAAGCGCGAGGTCAGGGGCCGCTCGTGCCCCTGCTCCCCACGCCGTGCGCGGCGCGCTGCCGGGCCGCAACAAGGGCCGCGGGAGGGGGGGCTGGTCGCTGCCACGCCGCCCGCCAAGCTCACAACAGGTACAGCAATCCAAGGGGCCGGGGCGCGCACGCAGGCGCCACCGTCCCGCCCTGTCCTTTGGACTTCCGGCCGGATCGGGTCGAGTCGTGCGCGGATGCCCCCTCATAAGGCCGACGGCTGCGATACCAGGAAGACGACAGAGGCGCCAGCCACCCACGCAGGACAGTGCACCGGGAGCAAAGCCGTGACCAACGGCAAAGGGGAGGCCCCAATGGGGCGGCGCGAATGCACTGAATGTTTGGCAAAGGGGCGGGGGTGAGGCCCGAAAATGTTGGCCGCGCAAAGCGCCGCGCCGGCGCCGACGGGGCGGGCCAGGTGGCAGGGCCCCTCACCGCGCGTGTGGGGGCCCGGGGCCGCGCGGCGGCGCGCGGGGCGCTCGAGGGCTGGGGGCGAGCCGCGGCCCGCGAGTTGGTTGTCCTGACGTCTGGGGTAAAACGAGGTGCAAGTGTACCGCGTGTGTTGATGGGCGCACGAGGCCCGGCCGTCTGCATATGTGTAACCCACACTGATGCGCATAGATGTGTTAGCGGGCAAACAGTGCCCCAACCGACAAGACGAGAGGCGTGTGCGTTGAACCCCCTGTGCTCGGCCGCCGCCGCACGTCTCCGGCGACGCGCGGCGGCGGCGCGTGCGCGTGCGTGCGCTCATACATGCAAGTGCGTAACGGTGGCTTGTGTGGGAACGCGGCCAGGGCCGCGGCCGCGGGCGCCGCCCCTGCTAGTCGCTGCCCGAAGAGAGGGGCGCGGCGGGCGCGCGGGCGCGCGCGCGGGCCCGGGACAGGAGAACCAGCTCGAGCGCGTCGGAGATGAGCGGTGCCATGGGGTCGCCCGCGCCGCCGCCGCTGCAGGCGTATCCTGTCAGCCCGCCCAGCGCCGTCGGCCACAGCGGCAGCAGGCCGGCCGCGAGGCGCCCCGCGACCAGCAGCGCCATCGCCACGAGTGACGGCGGGCAGCCCGCGAACGCCGCGCTGCCGGCCGCCGCGTCGGCGGCGGCGAGCGCGTCGCCGGCCGCGCGGCGCGCGGC